AATGAGGATCTCTAAGAGAGTCCCCAGAGCATGGGGAAACCATGCTTTCACTGTCAGAAAAAAACTGCACTTCACAGTAACTTGCTCATTGACCAAAAAAGTTAACCATACAAAAGAGACAAGGGGACAAAGACAGCAAGAGTGAGTAGACCCACAAGAGAATAAGAAATTATTAAAGAATCCAGATCTATATGAAATCTATATATCTACACTCTTCAATGTTCTTCACTTTTAAAGTATGCTTCTTGTGGCTCACTATGAAAGCAATGATTTTACAATTGTCAAAAAATTTTTAATCCTAATACTGAAAGAGCCTCAGTAAGGTATGATTTTTCAAGCTGTGCTATTCAACTTGTCACATCTTTTTCTCCTTCCTCCAGAAAAACATTAATCCAAAAAGGCAAGCTCTCAGGTGAATTACTTTAATCTGAGTATATTTCCTGATACAACAATTTGCAGCAATGATGTTGTCAATGAAGAATGTGTTTCCTTACTGGGACTTGTGCAAGAAGACAGTGATTTAGAGCTTATGGCCAGTGAAAGAACAAAATGTCTTCTGCTCTGCTGGAACCCAGAGGTATGGTGAATCCTATCTTGTGTTTGGGTCAACTTTTTAGTTAGCACAATATGCAAATTTACTACCTAGTTAAAAAAAAAAAATCTATCCTTGAAAATCACTTATTTAACCCATGAAGTACAATACACATGATTGTGTGTTCAATGTACTATTCAGCAATTTTTGTATGCTTAAGTTTTAGAACCATGGATCTAAGCCAAAGAAATAAACAAAGGAAACATCAAAATGCAGTGTCTACAGACCCAAATAATTCTCTCTTGAATATGTAGACATTGTAGAAGTAGGGCACTGCGCAAGTCTTCCTATTCAATATAATCAGGACTAGTAGCTGGTCAGTTAAACAAAAAGTAAAATTAATGAAATAACTGTATATGAATACGTTTACCTTAATTTTTTTAAATAAAAGCATAAATATATATCTATTCACTATTTTTTGTGATGCCAAGGTCTTTATTTTGTCTATGACTCAGTTGATTTTCCTCTATCCTTTTTTTTATATGAATCATAAACATAATATATCATTTAGGATTTCCAGTTTAGAAAAAGGTGACAAAGACACTTACAAACTAATGTGAATGTTTAATCTTAGATTTTCTTTTTTTGCAAATTTTATCCCCACCTAATTTGATAGATTTATTTAAACTGATTGACATGTATGGAGTCATTCCATAACATAACACTATTCTCAACTATTTGTGTGGGGAAATGAGTAAGCCATAGCAGGGAAAAATCCAGTAATTCAGTCTGCACACCACTTCTCTTGGTCTGTACCAAAATGAATAACTACAGGTTAGATTATTTCAGTACTACCTTCAGTGGCTAAAGTTTAAATTGAAAGTGATAGCACTGGAAATTAAAAACCTCAAAAATGATTAAACTTTACCTCAGATTCAGAATATTTGGGGCTGATTTTTTAATTCAGAATTGAATCAGAAATTTTGTTTTCCCATCTCTCTGAAAACCTTATATGGATTTATGAATAATCAAAATAAGTTGGGCAAATCTCCACCTATCCTCCTAGTTAGAGATGGTTTTTCTCAGCAGAGACTGAGTGAAACCCAAAGATTTTCCTGGGGGAACTTGGGTAAGCATAGTTGATATACTTTGGCTCTGTGTCCCCACCCAAATCTCTTCTCGAATTTTAATCCCCACATGTTGAGGGAGGGACCTGGTAGGAGGTGATTGGATTATGGAAGCGCTTTCCCCCATGCTGTTCTTGTGATAGTGAGGGAGTTCTCATGAGATCTGATGGTTTAAAAGTATGGCACTTCCCCTTCACTTGCTTTCTCTCCTGCCACAATGTAAGACGTTCCTTGCTTCCCCTTCGCCTTTCACCATGATTGTAAGTTTCCTGAGACCTCTCCAGCCGTACAGAACTATGAGTCAATTAAACCTTTTTTCTTTATAAATTACCCAGTGTCAGGTAGTATGTTTATAGCAGTGTAAAAACGGGCCAATACAATTGTTTTAAGGGAATCAGTTTCTATTGCTCAAGTTTACTTTGTACTCCCCTAAAATTGATCTTCCTGAAAAATGCACTTCCAGTCATGTTGATTTCCACCTACTTTGTTATAATTATCTTTGTATTTTCCAGCAGAAAGACACATCTCTCTTCATCTGGTGGTCTTATTAGGTAGTGCTTTGAGCTTAGAAAAACACCTGAGAAACAGACAATTTGAAGTATTGCACAGGTATTGATACAACAAATGACTTTCATGACTGGGCAACAAATCTAATTGCAATTCAAACACTGTAGTTTCCAATCCTTAGCTTTCAGTTCAGTTGAAGAAGGACCTAATTGAGCTGTCTTTTGAAAGATCATCAAAAACATTTTTTGTGTGTGATCACTATGTGATATTTGGCTTATAACTCTGAAGGAATTCAAAGAATTAAGTGACATTGCCATAATAGACCCCTTTCCATTCCCGTCTACTTACATAAACATGTTTGTTCAGCCCCATCAAAAAGTGGGCAAAGCGATATGAACAGACAGTTCTCAAAAGAAGACATTGCATACAGCCAACGACACATGAAAAATGCTCATCATCACTGGCCATCAGAGAAGCAAATCAAACACCACAATGAGATACCATCTCACACGGTTAGAATGGCACATCATTCAAAGTCAGGAAACAACAGGTGCTGGAGAGGATGTGGAGAAATTAGGAAACATTTTACACTGTTGGTGGGATTGTAAACTAGTTCAACCATTATGGAAAACAGTATGGCGATTCTCGAGATCTAGAACTAGATGCACCAATGACCCAGCCATTCCCATTACTGGGTATATACCAAAGGATTATAAATTATGCTGCTATAAAGACACATGCACACGTATGTTTATTGCAGCACTATTCACAAAGCAAAGACTTGGAATCAACCCAATGTCCATCAGTGACAGATTGGATTAAGAAAATGTGCACATATACACCATGGAATACTATGGAGCATAAAAAAGGATGAGTTTGTGTCCTTTGTAGGGACATGGATGCAGCTGGAAACCATCATTCTTAGTAAACTATCACAAGAACAGAAAACCAAACACCACATGTTCTCACTATAGGTGGGAACTGAAACAGTGATATTACTTGGACTCGGGAGGGGAACATCACACACGGGGCCTATCATGGGAGGGGGGAGGGGGAGGGATTGCATTGGGAGTTATACCTGATGTAAATGACGAGTTGATTGGGGTGCCAGCACACCAACATGGCACAAGTATACATATGTAACAAACCTGCACGTTATGCACATGTACCCTACAACTTAAAGTATAATAATAAAAAATAAATTTAAAAAATAAATAAACATGTTTGTTAAAGGAGTAAGAGAATAAAAGATATCGATATATATTTTTAAAAGAGCAGAATCTATAACATGAAATGCTTTACAGAGGAAGCCACAACAAATGAGCCTATTCAATTCACCTCATTTAAGCACAATCAATTTACTCCTTAATTTGTTAATATTTAACGGGAGGGTGAATAGAAACTACCAAAGTTGAATTTAAATATTTAATGACTTAAAGTCTGAAATTCTGTGTAAAAGAGATGATTTTGGTGGTGCAAGTGGGTAACAAACAGACTAGAATGTTACTGTAGCTATCCAAAGTACATCCTAGTTTGCTAACTCAGAAGGCAAGAAACGTATGTTACTTAAGAATGCAATGGACATTTCTGTAGTAAATAACGTGGTGAGTTTATCATTGTTGTCCCTCCTGGATACACATACTATGTAAAACTGACAACTTGACCTAACAGTGGTTTTTAATCTGCCTTTGATGAAAAAACGACTAAGTTATCAGGTAGTACTAAGGATGTATTAATTCTTTCTTTACCAGTCTTCAGTGTACTCTGTCATTACAGAAACACTTCTTTACATTAAAAAGGTATAAACTAATAAGTCTAAACTAACAAAAAATGCTTCTAAACCTTTGAACAGTCTTTCAAAACATATGTCTTCTGCTTTTTGTCTTGTCATGATCTATAATGCTTCTCATTCGTCCTTCCTCAAAGAAAATTTACAGATGAGTGTGACTATCTCTATTTAGAGCCAAGTGTATCTTTCACACAGAAAGCCAACTTCACATGAATTCAGTGATCCTTTGAAGGAGCCAGAAGAGCCATATCATTTTATCCTCATGCATGACTGAGGGACATAAAATCCCCATTCCACCTCTAGAACTCATGCACAATCCACAAACACACACACAAATAGCAACATGAGTGAGATTTAGCAAACTAGAGGGACAATCAATTGTAATTTCGCACTCTAAAACAATTTCATTCGAGATCGCAGTGCTGGAAATGGTATTTTATAGTTGACTTCCACCAAATTATGATGCAGCTCAGATTCAAAATCTCTATTATCTTTGGCAGAAGTTTTAAAAACCGTTTTTATTTACTCCAAACTCTATCTGAACAAAGCCAGCACAGGCCCTTTGCAATGTTTACATCAAGTGCTTCATGCTATAATTAAGTAAGCAATGGAAATCAAAGGAAGCACTAAGAGAAGGAATCAGGACATCATTTATTGATTGGTGGCATTTGAGGGATTTAAAATTTTTGTTTTAGTGTATAACTGCACTTTATTACCATTTTATCCTTAAAATGTAATAAGTACAAACTGCTTCAGTAATGATAGAAAAGCCTTCTCAGCTTTAATGAAACCTTTTATTTGCCACTGAAACTTTTATTATTTCCAAATGGTAACATAAGCAAGAAAAAGTCACTACTTTCATTTGAGGAAAAACTTTAGCAATTAAAATAATTTTGTTCTTGGGTGAATTTTAAGACATTTAGATTTGTTGTACTTATGCTTATTGTCTTCATTTACTTTTGATAAATTAAAACCAAAAAAATGTACAGACACATACTATTACAAAATTAGCCTCTAATCATCTATCAAAATACTAGATACTTACATACAGCCATCCTCTGTCAGATGTTGGTTTGATCCAGACACAAAATTTTATTTATTTAGGCTCCTACACATCTCAGTTGCTGACCATGTGAGGCAACATATTGTGATGGTGAAGAGCAATGACTCTGATGCTATATTGTCTGGCTTTGTATTCCAGCCCTTACCCTTCCTAGCAATGCTACTTCTAGAAACTTCTCAGTCCTCAAAATCCTTATCTTTAAAAATGAGGGTGACTAAAAACCGGCATGAGTGGGAAGATTTAATAAGGTAGTTCATGTAAAACACTGGAGTACAGCCTGGCACATGGTAGGCACTTAATAAATATTTAGTTCTAACAAAGTTTTCATTTCTGAATACATGCACCTCTAGATTGGATGCACCATCCGGCGATACCATTTATTCAGCACATATTTGTTGAGTTTTATTTTGTTCTGAACACTGTCCTAAGTAAAGGGTGCAGAGAAATTAATATAATATGGTGCCTACTTTTCAGGAGCTTACCATTTAAGTGCAAAGTATTTGTTGCCATCTTAATATCTTTCCTGAAGAGAACCATGAAACATACTCTTTCATTAAATCACAAATTTTCCCTTTTCCCCATAGGCTTGGAACTAATGGAACTTCAGAAAAATTTGACTTCAGTTTCTGAAATCTTAATCATGCACAGTTTAATAAATAGCTACAGGTTTTTTTTTCACATTTTATAAAAGATGATTAAATGGTATAATCAGATTCTAACTAGCCAAAAACTTGAAAAACATAGGAAGACAACCATGACTGACACGTTTATTTTCCCAAATGCAAACATATTGCAAACATCAGCTGCTGAAAAATAGTGCTATTTACATCTTACATGACCCACAGAAAACTAAAATTGCACAGGAGCTCAGCATCAAAATGTTTAAAAGTACCTAAATTAAATTCAACTTGAGACAAAACAAAAAGTTCATTTAATCATAGCTATATCACTTTTCGTAAAGTTCTCAAAATGATTTCCAACATGGCACCTTATATGGCTTTAGTTTTTTCAAACATTTTCATTTATGTCATTACACTCAGAGAATTCATTAAAAAGTAAAATCTTGAAGTTTCGGTGTAAGTTCCAACACAACGACTAATGTGGTATTTCAAACATCACAAACTCCAAATGATCTCAAATATGTTGTCCTCTGCTAATTTGCTGCTCCTAAAAATGTGCAATAAATGCAATTAAAAAGGAAAGTATCTTAATTTAATTGCAAGATTGACTACGATATTTATCTTCTTACTAGATGTATCATAATAAAAAAACTGTCTAATATGCATTACATTGTTTAATTCAGGAGGAAATTGGATAGTCTCCCTTCCAATAAAAAAAAGAAACCTTTTTTTTTTTTTCAACAGCCAATAATGACGGTGTTCTTTCTAGAATACAATGAATAATGCCAAAATAGGTCCTCTAAGGGGTTCACCTACCTAAAGCAACTGAAGATCATGAGTAAATACACAGGCACACAACTCCTTCCTCTCTTTTCTTGTGCCATATAAGCTTCCTTTATTAAAATACTTTTTAAAGACTCTTGTGATTCTTTTGAGTTGGGCGTAAAAAAATCCCTGAAATAATACCCCCTCTTCCCAATGAAACCTCTTTCGATACTGAATGAACTCACACCTCGCTTATATGTAAGCTGCGGCGAGAATGCATCTCCTAGTCTCAAATCTCCAAATGAATGCATATTTTGGTAACCTCTTCTTTTGCATCTAAACATACATGTTCCACACCACAGGATCTTCTTGATCCCAGCGAAGGTCCTTACTTAATGTATGCGTTTTTCACATCCATTTTTTAATCCTTTCAGGGTGAAAATTTCAAAAGGGGCGAACGTGGGTGAAAGAAACGAAGAAGGGGAGGGAGGAGACATGATGTCTGGGATTTCTGCCATCCTCGCTGCAACCCAGAATTCGTATATTTTTTCCTCTCCCTAGCCCTCCCCCTCCTTCCCCTCTCGCCCCTTCCCTCCGCAGCAGGAGGGAGGAGGAGGGGCCGCTGGCTGAAGCCGCCACCTGCCACAGCGTGGAAAAGCTTCAGTTATCACTTACCCAGAGGGGTGAGAATGGCTCATTTTTGCAGGATCCCTTTTGGACCCCGCGGCAGGTGCGGAGGGTGGGTGCGTGGGGCCCCGTGCGCGCTGTCGCTGCGACAGTCGCGCTCGCGGGGTGGCTCCGCACTGAGGTCTCCTGTGCGCGGGCACCTAGGCTGGGCCGCCGCCGCCCCTGGGCGCCCGGGCTACCCGCAGCCTACCGGGCTCCCACTCTCCGTTGGTATCCACAGCTTCCCGGTTGCTAAGGGAGGAGAGAGGCAAGCGCCCAGGGTCTGGAGAAGTGGAGGCGCTGCTGGAACCCAGCCTGCGGAAGCTGGGGGTGAAGCCAGCTTCTACTCCTTTTTCTGGGCCCTGATGTGGGAGGAGACCCAGGCAAGCCCCTGCTCTGTTGCTCTGGGGCGAGAGTTCCCCCAGGCACCTGTAATATGAAAACACAAACACGCTCGCACACACACACAGGTACACGCACACATTTTGGCTGGCGTGCTTCCTGCTAGGCCCTGGGGAAGGAAGGACTGGGTGGCAGCTGGGGGTAATAAGAGCAGGGAGCAGCTACTGCGTGATGCGGTGGTTTCCAGTGCTAAAACAGCGATTGCAAATTCAAGGGAAAGAAGGAAGTCTCTCAATCTGTTTTGGGTTTTGAATTTGTTTCTGCATCTGTAATGCATTACAATCGACTCATTTCCGCCTTGGAAAACTCCTATCCTTGTTCCTAGCTGAGGTTCCCACTTCCAGCGTGCAGGGCTGACAGTGCTGGCTTTCAGTAGGTGGGGGAGACGCAGTTATTCAGTAAAGCACCCAGGAACAGTACTTGTATTGGAATCCAGTACATGGAATGCAGGGCTTAGATGAAGCAGCCTGGATTTAAATGAGGATCTTAATATGGAGGAAGTTTAAGCACTAGACTCAGATAACCTATTTTTGTTTTGTTCATGCTTGGTCAGGTGTTTTGCAGAATGAGTTGATCTCTGGCCTCATGTTCCTCATGTATAAGTGAAGGGTTGGACGTATCAGTGGTGACTGAGCTTTCTAGGGTCTCTATTCTGGGTCAGTCACACTTAGAGGTGGGAAGAGCATCACCTCATTAATGTCATTCTGCTTTTCCTTACGTGGTAAAGGCCCACTGAGTATGACAGAATTCAAACTCGTTAGTGTGACATTCAGGAGCCCTCATCACCTGGCCCCAGCGTCTTTCCCGAGCCTCTGGGACCACTTTCTCCACTACCTTAAACTCTAGCAAAACCAAACTCTTGCACTATCCCTCTAGTGGAAACATACTTTCACCCTTGACTACTCGGAAAACTCCTATTCATCCTGGAACACTTAGCTTGAACACTGCCTCTTTGACATCCTCAGGTGTGCTAATGACTCTGGCCTCTGGGGGCACTCAGCCAGGCTATGCCTCTGTTTTATACTTACCCTCGTATTACATTTGCTGAAGTAGATGGCTGCCTTTTCTACTCAAATGCAAGCTTCTCCATTTCATTTTGTACATCTATTCCATTTTTCTATATTCTCAGAAGGAAGTAACAATTTAATAATATTTGCAGCATGAGTGAAGGGAAAAAAAGAGTGGTAGCATTTGTAATGAATTGTTAATAAATGCTCTCCTCAGCCTTTTATTGAACATTTACTATCTCATTTAATCCTCATCTTCATTTTATGAGACAGGTTTTTTTTTTCACCATTGCATAGCTATCAAAACTAATACATAAAGAAATTAATTATTTTTTCTGACATCTTCAATGGCTTCCAACAGGAAAAACTAGGATTCAAATCCAGATCTATCTGATTTGAGCCTACAAATGTCTTTAACAATTACAAGTTGATTTACTTTTCCGTGGCCCCTATAAATTGCCAGAGAAGCCAGATATTCTATACCATTACAGGTTTTGGACCTGAGTGACCAGAGCCATTCCAAGAAAAAAGAAATAGGATGCTAGCTTAGGTCCTGAGACTGAAGGATTCAAGACTGCTTCAGGGCCCAAATGGCTAGAGCTAGACCAAGGCAGAGGTCATCTCCCCACACCCCTCTACCATATGTCTATCCCCACTAACATTGGTTCCTATTTGAGGTTGCCCTTAAAGTTCACTGTAACTAGATTTCACCTGGATAAAAATCGGAGTGGGAAGGAGGAGGAGGAACTAGAAAGATACATTGTAACTTACTCCAGGTGCTGCCAATCCCTAAAGTGTAAATAATATAATCTTACATAGGTACTAGTTGTTCCAAAATTCATTTTTGCAAATAAAACATGGTATTTTCTCACTGCACAATGAGAAAGGAAATTAAAATATACTATTTAGATACTCAGTATTCTGCAGAAAAGATTCCCCAGCACTCTGCAGACAGTGAGGTACCCTCAACAGCATGTATTAATTCATAAATGGGTTTGAGTTTTCCACCCCTGTGAGCTCCAAAATTTCACATTCCTGATGAAACTGCAAGGAAGCTACTAATTTTCACTTCAGAAAATACTCACTGTGAAAATGTATTGGGAATTTAGCCAGAATGAATTTTTATGTTAATTTCTAGAATGGAGATAGGGAAAGGGAATAAAGAAAAAAACTAAATTAAACTGTTTCAAGACCAAATAGTCACTGGAGTCCTTTTCATTTTCTCACAGGAAAAAAAAAGTCCCCAGATGTCCCCAGAAGTATCATAAATGTATAAAATGATTTTGGTTTTATAGAAAGACCTGCGGAGTGAAAGTCGAGGTCAGGAGATTGAGAGAAGTAGAATGGCAGCGGGGAGATAAGGATTACACCTACCGTGTTGATTGGATCTTCATTTAGGGTGAACAGCAGCTGGACTTAGGAATCACAGATCTAAACTATCAGTGATGGTCTTATTCGTTTTCTGTTGCTATAATAGAATACCACAGATGAGGTAATTTATAAAGAAATTTATTTCTTACAATTCTGGAGGCTGTGAAGTCCGACGTTAAGAGGCCACATCTGGTGGGGGCTTTCTTGCTGCAGTGATAACATCGAGGAGAGCATCACACGGTGAGAGGGCAAGAACATGTCAGCTCAGGTCTCTCCTCTTCTTACAAAGCCACCAAAGTCATCAATGGGGGCTCCACTTTAATAACCTTATCTAGTCCTAATTACCTCCCAAAGGCACCACCTCCAAATACTATCAACATATGAATTTGGAGATTAAGTCTCCAATAAAGGAAGTTTGGAGGATGCGTTCAAACCATAGCAGTGACCATGTCTTGGATCACAGGTAGGCAATGTATGGTTTGCCGACAACATCTGATCCACTGCCTGTTTTTGTACAGTCTATAAGCTAAGAATGGCTGCTACAGTTTTAAATGCTTGGGGAAAAAATCAAAAGAAGAATAATATCATATGATACATGAAAAGTATATGAAATTCACATTGTTTTTTATGTCCACAAATAAAGATTTATTAGAATATGCTCACACCCGGTTTTTTTTTTTTTTTTTTTTTTAACAAATGACCTATCCTTTCAGGCAACAATGGCAGAGTTGAGTAGTTGTAACAGTGACTTTACGGCCCATGAAACCTAAAATGCTTGATATCTTTCCCATTACAGATGAAGTGTGCTGACTTCTGGACTAACTTATCACCACAATTGGAGACCTAACTTACCCTCACGGACCTTGAGAACAGGGACCACACCCTTGTATTCCCAGTACCAAATGCTCTGTGCCTCTCACAGAGGGGTGCTGAATAAATAGGCAAATGAAGGAATTAATGAATAGATTGAAGAAATAAGTTTTTCCATGTGTTTATTATTCTCCTGAAAGACAGAGTTCAGGTTACCAAGACTTTCTTCCCAGATGTAATCCCAAAGGTATTTCGGAGATCTTCAAAGCTCACTTGTAAATTTAACCTTCTGCACAATGGAGCATGTCCTGATGAAATGCCTACCTTACTGGCCTCCCACTGAGCTTTTATATAATGATGATAAAGAAAGTAGCCCTGGATCACATCAAATCATCATGCCTTAAGGCCCTGACACTCGTGGACTGAGATGGGATTCAAGCAGGGCTCAGGTGTGTCAAGCTGCTGCTTCGAGGTCGCCGCCTCTTCTACTGTGGATTGTCTGTGTCACTCCTGCCTCCTATCCACACACTGTGTTGTTGGTGTGCACGCCTACTCTTTTCCAACCCTAGCATAAATTTCTGCTCTTTCCTTCAGTATCAATCAAATTATCATGATTTAGAAAGTATTTAACAAGTATTTCATGAACAATGATAGAAAGAGTATAATCCATGTTTTCCTTGACACTCCAGTTGGAGGAGAGGACATGAAAAATGTGACATAAAAAGAGTAATAAATGGATATGTCTTTGGCTCTGGTGCCACCCATGTATGAGTGAACTTGAGCGATATTAAGGAGCTCAGCATGTCTGTGATTGTCCACTGCTAGCCAAAAGGCATTCTAAACAACAGGCATTGAATTTTGGGAGAGGAACTGAGTAGAGCCATCACAATGGCCTGACACAATAGATTAGGTTAGCTTACTTGATCCAGTGTTTCTGAAACAGCTACAGATGGCTGACACTACTGTTTGCCATTAGAAATAGACATTATACTTGGCATTCACAGAACTAAGACTTCACTTGGCCTAAGATCAGAAAATATCCATTGACCATTTACTATATATCAGGTACTCATTGAATCTTCGCACCTTGAGGTAGGTTTTATTTTTATCACTATTTTACAAATGAGAAAGCTGAGGTTCAGATAAATTAAATACCAGCTAGTAAATGGCACAGCTGAGATTCAAATCCCGTTGTCTATGTTTCTAGAACCCACACTCTTAAACACTTTGCTCTATTGCTTCCCACATCCAAGAGGTAAAAAGACATAACCTCACAAAGGGAA